GTTAAGAGAGGTTACAGGAGTGTAATTGATGGCAATGTGTGAGTTGTGCAAATTGAAAATCGTGGGAGGATGAGAAAAACATCAGTTCAACACCAAACTCGTAATGGTGGGGAACGGGAGGCTTGCTCTGTGCATGTGGATATTCAGTGAGTCTCCATCCGTGCCAAGCAGACTTCAGGACTTCAAGTTTGGCTCCCATCCCAACAGCAAATACATTGAGAAGAGGAAAGCTAGCCAAGTTTTAATCAAGTAAAAGTTCTATATCCAGAGGTGGCTGGCAAAAGAAGAGATTAAAGTATTAGGAGCGCAATGAAAACAAGACATTAGAGAGTTGAAAGCTGGAATACCTGGGCAAACCACTTGCTGAGTGAATATTCCACAGTCGTCAGAAGGAAGCCCTGGGTGTTTTGGAGAGGATGAAATGTGAGCTTACACACCAGAACTTGTCTTCTTCCCGCTTTGGCTATCGCCGTGGCGAGTAGGTAATAACCTAATGCCTAGCTGAGCTGGTAGGATAAATGTAATCATTCCCCTCAGAGATATTGCTGGTAGAGGGCTCATGAGCTGGCAGAAAGGCCAACAGCTGCAAACTGTTTATGTATGACAACGTCTTGGATAAATCTGAGTTTACACAGTTGCCTGTGTCCTAAGGTTTGCTGGGGAAGTGCAGAGAGCTTTGCGTGTTCGAACCCAAGCACAGAAGTTATGGGCTGTAATTATGCAATTTCTCATGAGAGAAAGGAAGAAACCCTCACACTTAGTAATAGTAAAAATGGTAATTGGCTTCCCTTTCCCTCTACCACTGATGCTCCTGCTTGACCTTTTTTGATATTAAAAATAGATTTGTCGTAACTTCTGGCAGTTAGCCTTGTATCTGGAAAGATAGCTTTTCCCTCCCTCTGAAGAAAGCCACTCTCTGTTTTTACATGAGCACAGAAGTGCATGTGTGTGTGTGTTAAAAAAACAAAATACACACACAAAAAAATCCTCAGCATAATCCTCAGATGAAAAAACCCCAGCAGTTTAACTTTCTTCTCTATTTTTCATTTTCACACACCTGTCTCCTAAACAGGGCCAGAAGCAAAATTACCGAATAGGAGAAGTTACTCTTATATTATTCCCAGCCTGGAAGACCCTCAACATGCCAGGATTTTTCCAAACATGTCTGAGTTCATGAAGTTTCTATTCCAGTTCTGCACACTTGAAAGACTCAGATAAAGATCTGGAATTTTAAGAGGCAATCAGCAGTTTCCATTCATCCCAATGAAGAACATAATTCATACTAATGCAGCTACCAAGGCTTTGTACTACTCTCATTTTCGGTTAAAGGTGTATTTTTCTCTGCATATCAATTATATGGATCGTGGTATCGGGGTACAAAAAATTGCATTTATCCTAATGGTTCAGGTATATTTAGTTAGTAGCTGTATTATGTTTGCAGAACAACAGCATATTTGCTATTTATGTTCTAGTGAAAGAATTAACAGCAAAATGTATTGGTCCAAAAGAAAATTTTTGTCTTAGGAAATAGTTTAATAAAAAAGATATATAATTCAAAAAACATTTTGAGGCAAGCTTTTTCGAGCTTAAAATGTTATAACAATTTGTTATGACTGGCTTGCTACTTCAGAATTACTCTTATTAATAAACTCTCAGCAGTTCATGAGCTAGACTTGGGGAGTTCATTTTGTGTACTGCAAAATTTTCTGCTGCCTGCTCTTCTGGGATTCTGAGTTTCCCTACTCAGTCCACTTCTGTTCCTATATTGTCTGATCCCTTGGCTCCACTGCAACAAAAGGTTTTAAAAATTGTAATAATAAATTAATTTTAGACATCTATTTTTTTAATTGGTCATTGCAAATATTATAAAATGGCCACATAGGATTCACATTAAGCATTGAAAGTAACTAATGAAAATAAGGTGACTAAGAGTCTGTAACTGAGCCAGTCATTTCTTTTTCAGCCACTGATGGAGCTACAAGTCCTTAATTGTTAGTTTTCCACCTTTGAGTAATGAGGCTTTTAGCACAGAGCAGTGTTAATGCCAGTCAGTTTCAGTGGGATTAGGACCACTAAACAAAGACTTCAGAAGAATTACCAGTTGAGGTAATGTATTTGACGTTTTAATTGGTGTTTAACCTCATCTAATACACTGACAGAATTCCACACTGTTTTGCTACACCGTATTTCCCAAACATGGAAATATTGCCCCCTTCTATCTCCGGGTGACAGCAAACGTTGACTCCACCTCATTTTATGAAATTTATCCGAAGGAAATTAGCATTAAGCCACTTTAGCTTGAAACGATTGCCTGACTGATCACTGAACTTGAGATGCAATACTGTTTTGTTGCTTCTCACTTAAGACCCCACGTTCTGGATACAACAGAGATATATATTGAGACTGCTTAAATGGAAGGTAAAGGTAGAATGATCAAGTTTAGCAGTAGGAATAAAACACTTTGTGTAAGAATCTTGCTCTGGTCCTAGTTGTTAAATGTGCCTAAAATGGCTAAAAGGTAACTAAAATATCCCTCCCTGTTCACTGAAAGTGTATTTCAGTTGCGTTGGTCAGTTTATTGCAAATCTATGTTTTCCTCATCCCCAAAAGGCAGAAGGATCTCCAGGAGTGCCTTTTCAGTGGGTGGTGGTTGGGCCACGGCATCGTAGTTCACCACTGGGGGAAGAGCTTGAGCTGGGCAAGCTAAGGAGGGAAGGGGAACTCAACAGCCCTCGCTCATTTGCCTCTCTCCCAGCTGGGGATCAGGATTACCAGCAGCCGTCGCAGTTTTGTCTTCTGGAACAACAAGATACGCTCCAGCGGCGAGGCAGCTAGGGAGTGGATTAGCAATTTGGCATGAAGCATCCTTCCTCCTGAGTACCCTGTTTCATGTATGCGTGCTGGGAGAGAATTTAAAAACTCAAAAATGCACAAAGGCACAAATCTAAAGAAGCAGAGGATTGGCCGAGTCCCCTAATTGATCTTTTTCATCCCTAGTTTCTGTGACGCAAATATTCAGTTTTTGCTTCCCTTTAACCAACTTCAGACCTTCTGCTTTTTTTCCCTCTGCCAAAAGTCTTTCCAGAAATTGCTGATCCCAAGTAGGTTTAGAAGCAAAAGACTGTTATTTGTGACGGTATTATTATTTGTAAGTCATCCTGAGGTGCCTGACAGGAGATATAAATCAGAAGAAATATCTACTTCCCTTTCAGAAATCAACCAGAAATGTTTTGTGATGCTTAAAAGAAATGGAAGGTGTGTTCATAGACCAAGACACATTGCAGACACCTACAGCTGAGGTTCTGTTCTATGATCTGTTCATTAGGCCATCAGGTGTGTGGACTGAGTCTGCAATCTCTTTCTCAAAGCAACACATACTACCTGAGTATTTTGCGAGCAAAAAGCAAGTCAGTTTAAGAAGAGTGCTGAAATTCACCCTTCTATGGTCATTGGTTTAAAAAGATATAATCTTCATTTTGTTTTTTCCATGTGATGTGAATCTGACCTTCCACAGTTGCCACTTTGAAAGTCAGTGTTAGTGTCTGGTTCCTGCACTGCCTTCACTCTCTGCTGCTAGTGCTGAATTAAAAGGCTATTGTCCATCCCTTCATTCCATCCCGAATCCCTCTGGCAACAAATACCCATATCCATATTGTTGTTAAAACTCGTAAAAACAGAACTGGACTTTTTCCAGGTCTAAAGTTTTACACTGCTTGCACCCTGATAAACACAGCTTTGTCAACTCTGACAGAAGAAAAAAAAAAACAAACCCAAGCAAAAAGTCATGTTTCCATTGCCTGGTTGTGATCTACTCATTAAAGGCAGCTACATTCTAGTTACCCCTCTCTGAGAACAGTATTATAGGAAGGAACTAGTTTTCTTATTTTCTGTTAAATATAAGAAAATGTATCTGCTGTGAAAAAAATGAAAAGCTTTTGTGAAGTTCTTTACACTTCCCTTCCTTCCAGCCTGGCACAAAGATGTGTGAAGCGGCAGGATGAACCCGGTGCTTAGGTTGCTGCGTGCTCTCTGGAACCCTCATTTCCTGTGCACACTTAAACTGCTTGTGTGGAGTTTGAGAGGTGCTGGCTTCACAGCAGAGTGCTTGCACAGAGACATCCTTAGGCTCTGCCGTTAACCTTTGTGCAAAAACCCTAATGGCTAGGCTCTGCTTTCTAGGCAGCAGATGAAACCAAATCTCAGCAGCAGCTTGTGCTGTGCGTGGCCTGTGATGCCATCACATTTCCAGGTACAGTGGCCCTTCCTGCAGGGAACAGTCTAAATTCAGGAAGGGCATATGAGGTCTATAGTTTTTTTCCATAGCAGAAGTTTCATGCTGTAGCTTCTGAACTACTTTTTGTCTTCAGCCTACAACCATTTGTGCTGCCCACACAAACAGGCCTGGAGGGGACTGTGCAATTGTCCGTGGGATCGAATCCTAAATTCCACTAAGTCATAGAAGACTTCTGCCACCTACATTGGCTTTGTGACTCACCATCAGGAGTTTGCCAGCTTTTCTGTCTCTGCTGCTCTTGCTTTCTTAAAGTATGAAAATAAAGGAAAATTTAAGACAGTCTCTGCTTTTATTGTTTTATTCCTTTTCTCCAACTGTATTCTTGAAATCGGGAGAACACTATTTAAATGCTTGATAAGGCTACTTCACTGCATCTTCTACCATTGTAGTAGAAGGGATTAACAGACAAGCTTAGATGAGTATTTGAGTCAGTGAAATATATTTTTGAGACCGTGAAATATACGATTTCCAAAAGTACCAGTGAAGGTGTGTGTGTTTAACTTGCTTCCTGTCTGACAAAATTCTAGACTGATTTTTCAATGGGATGGTGAACAAAATACTTGGATGATTTTGCGTGGAAACTGCTCTAAAGTTTTTCATACCAGGCATGTTTTTTATCATTTTGGTTGAGTTCCTGCTGTATGTTTTGAGTGAAGGAACTGCTTCACTGATTCTGATGGGAACATTCTCTGTATTTCTGTTGCAGGAATTGCTTACCTGGGAGGTATCTGCAGTGCCAAGAGGAAGTGTGTTCTTGCTGAAGACAACGGTCTCAATCTGGCTTTTACAATTGCACACGAACTTGGGCACAAGTAAGAACTTGTCTTCCTGTTTCTTTCTTTACTTATGCCACTGTAGCATACTTTTATTTAAAGCTATCCAAGTGAAATTACTAGTGTGGCATGTTTGTTACAGTTTCATATAATTTAGCAGATTGATAAGTAACTTAATTGTCAGGAGGCTTATGTAAATGTTAATTTCAGCGTACATAAATCTTTCTATTTGATCTTTCCCCATTTTCCATTCTGTTTTGATTTTGAGTAGCACAAAGAGGCCTCATCTCTTAAATGATTGATGGTGGTAGTTAAGAGACAAGTTCTGCTTTTATTTATGCTGTAGAATAAGTCCACAAAAATGACATCAGCTTCAAAATCTTTGAGCTTATTAAATTTTCTCTGAAGTTCAGGTGTCTGTGTTAAGGATTTTAATAGTTAAATACTTTGATAATGGTTTCATCTCTGTATATGAAGTAATCTACTGTGGCTGAAATTGTAAACATCAATATTTTGGAAATGCCCTTAGGTAGTATTATTTGATCAACAGAAACAAATCATCTAACTTGATTTATCAACTCAATCACAGCTAACGCACTTTGAACACTGACTAGAAAAAAACAGTAAAGAGTGTGATGATTCCTGGTCAAACAGAAATCTGCAGAAGGAGATTACTGGGTACTTTCTGCAGGTGACTTTGAAGACTTTTTTTAAGCTGCCTGTAAATATCCAATGGACAGAAGGAAACAAAATTCACTGGAAGAGTCACCTGCATCATCTTAGTGCAGCTAATGAGTTAACCCAAAGGGCAGCATCCACACTCACTGGTTTCCAGACTAAGGGTCATATACACTTGCTTGTGCTGTTTATGAGCTCTTTTCCCTTTCCACTGACATCCCTCTGGTTGCACTTTGTCACAGTTAGACTGTGTAAGGTGTAGACTTAGACCAGGAACAAATTTATACAGAAGCAAGGGCTGAACCTATGGTATTTTCAAGGACGACTCCTTTTAGCCTGTGTGGATGGAAGGTGGGAGATCCCACCATTGTTCCTTTAGTAAGAAGCTGTGCATAAATTTTGTCTTCAACCTTCTGGACTCCTACAGTCTATGTGTCTGTTGTATCTTCCTTTCCTGCAGTAACCAGTATTTGACAGCTAAGTCAGAGCTAATTTATTGTGTTCGGATTCGAGCCAATCTCATTCCATGACAAATAATTATTTTATGGCAATGTATTTCGAAGTTGCAAGGAGGATATTTAAGTTACTACCAAAAATGACAAGATGAAAATGAATCTCCTGTTCACCCTCCAGTGACACCAAAGGCAGCTGAGCCAAACCGAGGGTGGTTTCAGCAGAAATGAAGGACATTTGGTTTTGGTTTTATTTAAATTGCATGCCAAGATATTAAACTGAGCCTAAACTTAATAACAAATTAACCTGTGGGTAATGTTAAGGGAAATTCAGCACTCATCTTTGGATGGGCCAAGAGCAAGAAGGAAAAATACTTGAGCTGCAGAAAATCCAGCTGTGTAAAAGAGTGAGACTGGTCTGCCCTGGTGTTTGCCAAGTTTCTCAGCAGAGCTGTCAAGCTTCCTTCTAATAATGTCTTGCAAAAAATCCACAACGTAAATAGGGGATGTAATGCTTTTGGATACAGCTTTCCCTCTGTGCAGAAAATAGAAAACTCCATTTTCTTTCTTGAGTGCAACCTTGGTGGCAAGACCGTAATGTCCTTTCTCTTCTGGTTTTCTTTCTTTCCCTCTGTCTTGGAAAACTATTTCAAGGGGTAGGTGTGAGCTGTCTAAAGGAGTCAACAGAGGGTGGCTTGGGTTCAATACCTTGGAGGATCTGGAGTGTGCCGTTGTGCAGAGAATCTTCTGCTTCAGAAGAGTCATAGATCCCGTTCTGGGGAGAGATGGAGAGCTTAAATAAAGAATGCAGGTGTAGAAGGTCAGATGGCAAAGGAGACTGTTTTCTAACAGAACCGTCTCATGAGCTGCGTTACTAAGAGAGAAGAGACTGGAACAGGCTCAGGCATGAGAGACTGGGAAGAGTGGTTGAGTACTGGAGGGGTGTGGAGGGTCTGTAAGAGCCGCTGTAGGGACCTCGCATGTCCGGGTGTGGGGAGTGTAGCTCTCAGAAGGCACGTGAGCCAGGAAGGCTCCGACAGAAGCAGCCAGCTGCGTTAGGTTAGAGAAGCTGCTGGCAGGATTCTGCTGCCACCGGTGTTTTGGGGACGTGTTCCAGGTTGGCTTGTTTCACAATGAGTTGCAGCTCTCTGTTATGTGCTGGAGCAAGCCCTCCAGCCCTTCTGTCCTCTCTTCCTTTGCCTAAGTCCAGCCATAAACATACATAATCAAAGCCCAGCCATAAACATACATAATCAAATCTCCAGGATGCCAAATCAAAACAGAAGGGGAAAAAATGCCCTCTCTGGCTCACCACCCAGCCTGAGCATCAAAATCATCCCTCTGTACTGTCACCCACCAGTGGCACAGTTCCTTATTTCAAAGACTGGTTGATTTACTGGTGCCCTTCTGGTCTTGAAGGAGTGTTTTCATTGACCTCACTAGGTGTCAGGCCTCTTCTTCTGGCTTTGAACTGTAGCAGGATGCTCTAAGCAATCCTGTTTCAACACGTCTTGTGTAAACAGAAAAATTGTTTGTAGACTTTACCTAGAAACTCGTGGATTTTAAGTTAAATGTTGGAAACTTTTTGCAGAGATGAAGAAAAAGAAGCTGACATGAGCTTCAGGTTTAAAATTAAAACCAAGGACAACTAAGTGCAAGTTTCTTCATTAAAAAAAAAATCCAATCAAAACTGACGTCCATATTGGCAAAAATATACATTTTGGAGAGCCATAATTGCGAGCTTTATTGAAGACTGACTTCCCTATGAAAGTAGAAGAGCTGAGATTTATTACTTCTTGCCCTAAGACTAACAAATGTCTGTGGAGATCACAAGCCTGGTTTGGCATTCACAGATAATTTGTGATGTAGGCTTTGGAAAAAGCGAATGGGTTACTAATCGATGTGTCAGACTCCTAATCTGCCACTAATGTCATTTGGACTCACTGCAAGAAACACACTATTATGGACAGCTGCACTGTGAAAACATGGAGACACCATTAAATAGATCCATTAGGGTGATGCTTGTAGGCCCTATGGAAGTTCATCTTCACGTTTAACCTCTGAAGTTGTTGTTCCTTGATGATGGGGTAAGCGATAAAACTTTTATCTTTCATATTTCTGTCTTCAAATCTGGAGCAATAATTTTGGTCGATGGGCACAAAGAGAGCATCTATTTGTATTTAGATACAATTTTTCCTACAAAAAGTCCAGGTGAAGAATTTTGCTGTTACAGAAAGATAACAGGCAGGGTAGAGACCACTGAATATATGATGAGGCTGCAAATTATTAACTTCTTACTGTACAAGCCAGGACCCTCAGCAAGCCTCTTTCCTTCATTCAGCATGTTCAGTAGTGGATGTCTTTTAAAATAGCACACTTTAACCACAGTTAGGGGTTTTTTTATCCAGGGCTTGCTGGGTGGAGTACTGTGTTCTAACCTACACAAAAGGGAAGATGCAAGCATCATGGTGGTCCCTGAAGTCTTTAAAAGTAGAAGTTCAAGTTCTTCGTATTATAAACACTTTTTTTTTTACTTATCTTTCCTTACACTAGCCTGGCAACTTCATCAGTAAGAGCTTGAAATGCCCTGCTGTTGTCAACAGGATCCTGAATGGAGCTTCCCTCCTTCCCATAAACTGCACCAGCATGAAGTTGGTCTGAGATTCATACCCCAAAGACCACCCTGAACAACTGAGACTTTTAGAAAAATAGTGCTGCTTACCCCTCCCCTGGTTCTCTTTCTGCCTACAGCAGTGACATTGTTACCATTTTCAAGGCGTTCTCCAAAGCAAAAAGCAAAAAAGTTTTTTAAACAAAAGCTGGGATTCATCCTTATATCCGTTATCCCAGAAATGAGGCGGGTGGGCTGTAGCCAGTGGTTTTTCAGGACGACAATGCCAGCTTTGTTGCCATTCCTGTTTCTTTCAACAGTCTCAGCTTTCCTGTTGTGGGATGGGGGCGGGCTTGGGTGAGGAGGGAAGATTCCCATTCATGAGCGAGCGGAACCTGGCACTGCCTAGATGGTGAGAGAATCGCCGGAGGTGGTATGGCTGGAAGCCACGCTGTGTCAGATGCCCTTAAGAAAGTGAATCGAAATCAACTGACAATAAGCAAGATACAGTGTGTTGCCAACAGTCTGAAACCGCATGGCCTCAAACTTGAAGCTGAAACAGATGAGGACAAAAACGAGTCCAAAGGTAAAAGCCAATAGTGTATGAAGCAAACAGCTCTGGATATGGAATCAGAGAAGAGAAAAGTTTAGAACCAGCAGGTTTTTGTCCAGTACAATTATTTGCTTTAGATGTTAAGTATTGATAGAGTTAGCTTGGTTAAAATTACTTTAGGGTACATAATTATTTGCTGCATAATTAGTATGGCCTTTGTGATGTGTCTTTAGCAATAGCGGTGTTGAAGATAAGGGGAAGGTGCTCGCTGGACGTTCCCTTTGTGGTCTGATATTTCTGCCAATAGACTTGGGAATAAAATTACCTCCTTGACCTATCTAATGCAGCACCCAGCAGAGAGATTCTGTCGTGCATATAGTTGTAAGGTAAAATGTGAAAATACTGCAGGCTGAAGGGGAATGTGTCTTGAGCAGAACCAAAAGTTACAGAGTAACACCCTGGAACAACTTACACTGGCAAAGCCAAGTCAGTGTGGTGCAGGCATACAAGTTTAATTCCTATTAGCCAATCAGGAAATTAATAGTCCCCCTTCCTCGCCGCTCTGCAATTTGTAAATATTCTGTCATAATGTATTTTAGAAATGAAAAAAAAGTTTCACATGAAAGCAGAGGACTACCACAGTGAATGGGCCACAGGTCTGAGCAGTCAGGCAGTGCTGCAGAGCGCACACTGTGATGATACAGAAGTGTTTCTTTTTCCTAAGCAGTTTGTTCTGTGATTCCAT